GTAAAAGTTTCTTGCTAAATGGTTGTGCACAGAACCAGAAACAGGGTATTGATTGGAGGGCAGGTAAGATATAGGTGGAGGTTTTTTAAAGGTAGAAGATATTTGCCTTCACATCAAAAAAGTAATTGAAAAGAAATAGTAATGGGTGGAAATTTTAATTTAAAAAGTAGTTTCACCATGTAGAAACCCTCACAAAACCTTCTGCTTTTTGTTCTGTTTCAGAGAGGATTCTCTTCTAGACATCTAGAACCTTAGCCACAGTTGTAAAAACAAATGCAGGATGGCACTGGATAAAACTGTTTTTGGCCATGAAGGGCACTATGTGGGCCTGCTCATCACAATCAGAGTCATCTCCTTGTCATCTGGTGTCCTAATAAAACTCTTGCCTGTCAGCAGCATGATGGTCTGATTGGTGTTTGACCCAGACTAAAACCAGGCCAGGTAAGGATGAAAGAAAGGCATTCTGTCATATCTGATACGGATGTAACACTGTCCCCAGAAATATCATGAATTATCCTCCTTTTATTAACACAATCCTCCCATCTCTCTTACTCTCAAAAGAGATCCTCATTATTTGTTCAGAAGGGAAGTTGAATTCTGTGTTATTTCTGGTATTGGCTCCACATTCTCTGGCCAAAAAATAAACTTTCTAGCCAAGCATGATGATGTACAACTGTAAGTAGGATCACAAGTTCAAGCCTTTTGCAGTTACAATTTACCAACTTAGCTTGATCTTGCCTAAAAACAAAGATGTAAATAATAAGTCTAGAAATGTAATCAGTGTGAAGTTCTCCAAATCAATTTCCAATATTTCACACACACACAAACATGCACCAGCAAATAAGGAAACCAAAGAATAAACTTTCTTTCAGTGCATGATTGGCTCTCAGTTTTGTTCTTGGGTCCATGATACCAAGAAGAAGAAAGAGTACAGCTTGGATCATAAACTGGTAGCAATAATAGTTACTTAGGTCTTAATCAGCTTGAGCCGGGTATATAGCTCAGAGGCATAAGTGCTTGCCTAGCAAGCCTTATGAGGTCATGAGTTTGATTCCTAATACCAAAAAAAAAAAAAAAAAAGGTCTTAACCAGCTCAACTAATTTAGAAATTGAAATTCTGACTAAATTCATAGTCATTAAGGGAATAGATTGTCAGTTTCATTGTAAAACAGAATTTTTTATAATTCATAAGTATATTTTTACATTCATTATCATTGGATTATTATTTTCACATGATAATTTTTCACATTATAATTTTTAGTTTTGACTGACAAATAAAAATTGTATATATTTAAAAGCTGCAATGGTAGTGGAAGGATCAAGTGAATTAATATATTCTTGACCCCATATACATATCTCTGTGATGAAAACATGTAAAATTCTCCCTGGACAGTTTTGAAGTCAAGCCCTCAGTGAGGTAGCTAATGTCACATTAATTGTGGGAAAAATAGGTGGATTAAAATCCAAGACCCCAAGACTGGGCTCTTTCCAGGGAAGATGACAAATACAGAGGAAACTGTTGTGTGAGAGAGGGTGGAACTTCTGTAGACATGAAGAAGGACAAGCTTGGGGATTGACCTTAACTGCATTGATACCTTCAGCTGTGCCTGTTCTCACCGTCTCAGCTTCCAAGATGGCTGGTGACATTTTTGGAAGGTCTTGTCATAATTGGAAGGCATAGTCTGTCTCCCAAGTCAAGCAATAGGATCCACTTAAACCTTGAATTTCAAACCATTTGTGTTTGAAACCATTGCCATGAGAGATATCCTATCTCCACTTGGACTGGTAGTTACTGAAGCAGTGAACTAGCAGGTGATGGAGAACAACTAGCTAATGAACTTCCTGCATGTCAGTGTCTTCCTGAGAGAGCACTTTCGTAACCCCAAGAGGTCTGCCTGGAAGGCCCAGGGGCTTCTGCCCAATGAAGAATACAGGTCATGGGAGAGGAATGATTTATGGTTTGACTTGCAGGCCCCAAGAGTGGCTGGATATGAGAAGTAAGAAGAGAGCAGGGAGTTCTCTTCCACCACTGACCTCCAAATTGTAGCCGGGATCCTAGTGTCAAGTCCAGCAGAGGCTTCCTCATGATCAAGCCATAGGTAAAGACCTTTTCTGGCAGCTTTGTTTATTTATTTATTTATTTATTTATTTATTTATTTGTTTTTCATTTATTGTTATTATGTTTCCTTTTAGTCTGAGCACTGTGAAGAGATCATTCATATTATAAAAATTTTAGTTGTTTTAAAGAACAATTTTTTTGCTTTCTAAATGGTACAATAAAATGTCTGAACTCAGAATTAGCAAACTGCCTATGTCTTTGTCAAGTTATGTGACCTTAAGCAAAGGATCTCCCCTGTTTGGATCCCAGTTTCCTCTTTTGCGAATGAAGATATGGGATGAGATAATCTCTTAAATTGTATCCTCTCCTAAGCTCAGCTTTTTGTTCCTGTGCTTAAGTAAACACAGGCTATGGATAATGAAAATGTGGTAACTAGAATGTAAATAACTGATTCTAAAAGCTCCTTAAAATGTGAAGAGTAAAATATTATTCCAAAAGCCCGATGATAATTATTTACTTTTTACATGTGCTTTGCTCTTTAAGAACACACTGACTCCAGCAACAGGATAGCAAAATGGAAAGAGATGAGTAACAGATGACAGGAAGAGCTGTAAGAGTCATCCTATCATCTTTTCAGTTGCTATCACCACTACAAAACATTGGACATTGTGCAAAGCACTCCAGAAGGTAAGGAATGGTATGGGATTTGTTTGTCAATATCAAAAAGCTTGCTTTGGAATGGCAAGACATTAGTAAAAGCAACTGCAGAGCATGATAGAATATAATTAGAGGGACAGTGAGGACATACTTCAGGGAATTTGAAGGTGGGTCAGATCAGTGTTCTCCCTAGATGGCCAGGAGAAGAAAGTGAAGGACTTGAGTGAGAAAACATTTGAGTTGTCTTCAGGTTAGCTGAGGGTTAAGTATATTGTAGTGAGGGTATGCTGCAAACACACATATCAAGACTAAGTACAGACACTCATTTTGCAAACAGTGTAATTTCAATACTGACAATGCAATAATGGTTAAAAACATGACTCTGGACTAGACTAATACTTCCACAGAGCAAAAATAAAGAGTGGATGAAAGTGAGATTTCAGGTACATGGAAGAAAGAATTTTATCAAAATGAGGTGTTTCAACAATGCAGATGACTATCTTATTGGCAGGGAGCTTCTGGCACTGTCAGCCCTGTCAGGGGCTTTTTGATCAGTTTTGGAGATTTCCTAGGAATAGATATTTTTATGGGTAAAGAAACAAGAGTTTTTACTCATCTGAATAAAAATGAGAAACATAAGGACACTGATGTTTTGGTGCCAATGATTTATTCTGCTGTTTTAGCTTTTCGTCTTTCTTTGAATATTAAAAGCTCTTTTATTTTTTATGAATTAATAGGAATGTATGACAAAATTAAAATGTTCTCATGTTTCAATGAAATGCAAAATTATAGGGGTTCCTTGGAGGTGGTAATTCCTAAACCTTCTAACACTAAGTCAATGTTTATTGATTTAGCAAATTTTGAATCATTTGTGGTTCTGAGGATGGAAGTTTTGATGAAGAGGTGATGGTGAACATCTAATTAATGATGAAGAAGAAACTGAAAGACAAGAATTAGAGGCAGTGAATACAGTCAACTTGTGGAAGAGTTTTTTGGGAGTGGATAGAAAAAATGGAGTAGGAGATGTGAGATAGAAGTTAGCTAAGAGAAAGAACATGGAGGCTTGTTTTATGTTTGACATGTTAGAGTAATAGTTTATTTGTATACTGATGGAATGTTCTGGTATAATGTTGTTTAGTAATTAGTAATTTATATATTAGAATATTAGCTTCTTTGTATACCATCATGACTATAGTCAGTAACAATACTTTGCATTCCCAAAAATGCTGAGATTGGATCTTAAGTGGTTTTATCACAAAAATAGCTATGCGAGTGATATTCCCATTAACTGGCTAGATCTTGTCATTCCGCAATGTATATATACTTTAAAACATCATGTTATACATAATAAATGTATACAATTTATGTCAATTAAATAATCAAAATAAACAAGAAAAATAGTTTCTTAACTCAGAGGCCATATTTTACTTGTCTGGTTAGCCTATGTTGTAAGTAGAATGTCTAGAAAACATGTAATAATCTTTTGTTAATATTGCCCTCAACACAGATTATAAATACTTGTCATCTGTAGAATCAATAAATCAGAAGTGTGCATTTGAGGTTGGTAAAAAGGAAAAGTTACAGAAAATATTGAGAAAAAGACCAGTTTGGAAATAGACTTGTGCTCTGTTTTTTCTTACTTCTTTCATTTACTCAAACTTCTTAGTCTAGACAGGGACTTTCACCATTGTCCAGAAAAGGTCTAAAACTGTCTTGTATACTCCTGAAAGATCATGTTATGTCTGGTTTTCCATGAGAAGATGGGAGAGAGTGAGGGGAAAAAGAATGATGCTTCAGTAGCCAGGAAGTTGAGGAGGAAGATAATTTGAAATTAGAAATCAGAAAATGTAATTCAAATTAGATATACTTGGTTCGCTATACTACCAACATTATATCAATAGAAATGGTTTATACCTTAGAAAAATGTATATAAATGGTAATATACTCTTCAGATAAAGAATATTAAAATTTCTAAAACTTTTATAGATTACATTAAGACAATTGGGTTACAGGATGGAAGATGGCACCAGACCAGGGCTGTGTAATCAACAAGGCATTTAAAATCTAATGATAATGTTGGACACTCTGACAGAAGCTGTTTAACTGGATGTAGGAAGAGGGGTCAGATTGAAATGTATTTTCATTTTTATTTTCTTGGGAAGTCTTTACTCTGAAGGTGAAGGGAAGGCAAAGGCACTTTGAACACGTCTTTGTTGTGACTTCTGTGGCTCAATTTTCTTGCTTATTCCTCCATACCCCACCTTAGGGACATGAATGATAAACAATGGGCACTGGAAACTGGAGCAAGGTAACAGAATTCATCATTTTGGGCTTCCCTCATCTTCAAGGTGTCCAGACTTACCTCTTTTTCTTGTTACTTGTTATTTACCTCACAACTATCCTAGGAAACCTACTGATATTCCTGGTGGTCCACATGGACTCCCGGCTTCACATACCCATGTACCAATTTGTCAGCATTCTTTCCTTCTTGGAGCTGTGCTACACAGCCGCCACCATCCCCAAGATGCTGGCAAACTTGCTCAGTGAAAAGAAGACTATTTCATTCTCTGGATGTCTCCTGCAGATCTATTTCTTTCATTCCCTTGGAGCTACTGAGTGTTATCTCCTAACAGCTATGGCTTATGACAGGTACTTAGCTATCTGTAAGCCCCTCCACTACCCCACCCTCATGACCCCAGCACTCTGTACCAAGATTGCTGTCGGCTGTTGGTTGGGAGGCTTGGCTGGGCCAGTGGCTGAGATTTCCTTGGTGTCCCACCTGCCTTTCTGTGGTCCCAATCGCATTCAACATATCTTCTGTGACTTTCCTCCTGTGCTGAGCTTGGCTTGTACTGACACATCTATCAATGTCCTGGTGGATTTTGTGATAAATTCCTGCAAAATCCTGGCCACTTTCCTGTTGATCCTCAGCTCCTATGTGCAGATAATCTGCACAGTTCTTAAGATTCCCTCAGCTGCAGGCAAGAGAAAGGCCTTCTCTACCTGCGCCTCCCACCTTACTGTAGTTCTCATCTTCTATGGGAGCATCCTCTTCATGTATGTGCGGCTGAAGAAGAGCTACTCCCTAGATTATGACCGGGCTCTGGCAGTGGTCTACTCAGTGATCACCCCCTTCCTCAACCCCTTCATCTACAGCCTACGCAACAAAGAGATCAAGGAGGCTGTGAGGAGGCAGCTGAAGAGAACAAGGTTACTGGAGTGAGTAGGGGTGGAAGAGGGCAAGGCTGGGATTGAAACTATGGTGACCACAGAAGTCATCAGTGATCAGGGATAGAAAATCAAATGTTCTGTGTATTTTTCCATGGGGTAGTGAGGGTGGAACAAGTACTGACTGGCTTTCAGTATTACAACAACCAATATATTGTATGTTAAAATCACTTTCAGTTTGTGAACAGAGACTGGAAAAATTACACTGTCTAACGACAAGCTACATTATGCAATGATTATTAAAATCATAAATATTTGTGTATCATTCCTTCAATTTTTGTCAGATTTGCATCTTACCCATTATGTGTATATTCAGATTTACTTCATTTAATATAAACCCATTCAGCTATGATCTAAACAATAATATTTATTAAATAAAATTCAGGCAAAAAGAAATGATTTTTCATTTAAAATCAAGTAATACCTAAAGCATTCATATAATAAAGGTTGTGTTTTGGAATCACTTGTATTTGAGTTTAAATCCTAGTTCACTCAATGACTTATCATTACTTGATAGATATACAGTAAAATTGCAGGATACAAATCTTAATTTCATCATTTGATAGCAGTATTTTCTTTTAAAATTTTTGGAAAATTAGTGGTAAGATCTCTGACCACAGTACAGTGTCTGACTTATAGCTGATACTAGGATGAAAGTTAAACTTATTTTTGCATATTTTATTCTCCCCAGATTTCTGATTTTTACTCTGAATCTTAGGATACAATACAGTAATTCATAAGTAAACAAAATGATTTTCTGGAACTTAAAGGTGAGAAGTAAATCAGTCTGAGGTAATACTTATGAAGAGTGTAGTTTGTCAGATATCTGTTCCAGTGAGCTGTATTAATGATTATTAGTGGCCCTAATATATATATGCTCCTTGTAAAAAGTAGGAATTGAGTAAGTGGGAGAAAATAGGATTAATTTTATACTGAAAATTTTCTTTATTTCATTCTAATCCTTCTGAAATACATGAAAAATTATGTGAAAATGTAATCCTAGTATTTAGCATATAAAAAATCTGGGGATTTAATTGTTAACTGGTAGCATTAAGGATTGTTTGTGCACATGAACATTTTGTGAATTGAGAACCTAAACTTGACTATAAGAAAAAATTAAAACCATTTAATAATATTCCGTAACAATTTTATTTCTACTATCTTAAAAATATCAACCATCCATCCTTTCTTCCTTTCAATCCAACACATGTTTATTCAGATTTGTTACAGTATGTGTAAGATACAGGGATAAGCCCTAAATAATGAGATAAGCATTGCACAGTTCCCTACAGAAAGCCCCACGTAGGGTCCAGGTCTCCCACCAAGCATTATGGTACACAACTGCAAACTAAAGGTGAAGAGAGAAAGTTCTGCAGTTGAGGAGCTCTGGGATGACCAATGTTCTCTGTGGAACAAAATGCCACGAGTTCGAAAGCTCATGGTTTTTATTGCTATCAATCAGGCAAGTAAGTTGTGGTCATGGCAGAGCGCTAGGAAAAAGAAATTTTGCTACATGAATACCTCTAATTAGCAATACAAGTATAACTTGATATATGCAAGGCTTGAAACTTTACTATTAGAAAGGTATAATTCTTTCTGGGTCCCATGGCCTCAGCTGAGATGTTATCTCATGTCTTAGCCCTGGAATCTCACAGGCCCTTGCTTGAGCTCCCATTTCAGCCATCTGTATAGAAGCTAATCTCTAACCTGCGTGTTGTCACCTTGCTATGCTGAGACTCACTGGACCTTGGCAAGACTTGATCACATTCTTTTGGTCAGTGAAAGGAACATCTACTGCAATATAGCCATCTCTGCATGTCTCAGTGAGTAGGGTTGAAGGAGAGTTATGGAAAGATTGAGGCAAGGGGCTTTGTCTCTCAGGAGAATGTAGTTTGACAGTCTCTCCCATTTCCTGTTCTTAAAATGTTTTAAAAGAGTTGAGGGCCAGAACTTTGAAATTATAATTAATAAGAATGGCATTGCAGTAATGAAAACTATTCTTAAGTGATATGATCTTATTTTCTACCAAAAACAGAACTGATAAGAAAATTTAGTAAGATTGTAGGATACAAAATCAACGGTTCTATACACCAAACATAAACTAGCCAAAAAGAAATCAAAGAAGCAATTCTATTTATGATAGCTAACAAAAAATAAAAGAAACAAAACATAAAAATTTTGGAATATATTTAACCAAAGGGGTGAAATATGGGTTCAATAAAAACTACAAAATGTTAATGAAATGAATTGAAAAGAGCATAAATGAACAGGTAATCTGTTCATAGATTGCAAGACTTAATATTGTTAAAATGACCACACTACTCAGAGCCATCTATAGATTAAATACAGATCCCTACCAAACCAGTGGCATTCTTCACAGAAAAAAAAATCACATAACTATGAAAGACTTCCAGTAGCGAAGGCATTTAAGGAAAAATAGGTAAAGCAAAATATATCACAATACTTGACTTCAACACATAATAACAAGAACAGCTCAATACTGACATAAAACAGACATATGGATTAATGAAACAGAGTAAAGTAGCCAGAAATAAATTCATGCACTTGCAGCCAATAGAGCTGACAAAGGTAAGAACAGTATATATTGGAGAAAGCACAGTCTTGCTAAAAAATTCAGAGGGATGAGGGGAAATTAGATATTCATGTGCAGAATACTGATGTCTATATGACACCATAAACATAAACCAACTACAAATCAATTGCAAGTTTAAATGTGAGTCTTGAAACTATGAAACTACCACAAGAAACAGGAAAAACATTCAAGGATATTAGTATAGGCAAAGATTGCTTGGCAAAGATTTCTATTTTTTGGCCAGCCATCACATGCCTGTAATCCCAGCACTTGGGAGGCTGAAGCAGGAGAATTGTTATCAGTTTGAGGCCAGCCTGAGCTACATAGGAAAGTTCAAGGTCAGCTTGCACTGCATAGTGAGGACCTGTCTCAAAACAAACAAACAATAAAAAAAGAGTTTTGTCTTTTCTATAATTGAAAAGCTTTAGCGTAACAGGAAAAAAGTAAAATAAAATATATCAACATAGTGAGGAAACAACCTGAAGAAGGGGAGAAAAATGTTTTCAAACTGTCAAATTATTCATCCAGTAAGGGATTAACATCCAGGTATATAAAGAACTCAAACAAGTAGAGTGGAAAAAACTTCACAAATAATCTGATCTTAGAATGGCCAAGTGAAATGAATAGACATTTCTCAAAAGTAGACAAATGGTCAACTAGCACATGAAAGATGTTCGTCATTAATTATTAAGAAAACAAAAAGAAAAATCACAGTAAAGTATCACCTCACTCCAGTTAGAGTGGCTATTATCAGAAACATTTTTAAAAATGACAAAAGCTAGCAAAGAAATAGAGAAAGTAATACACACTGTTGGGTGGAATGTGTAAATTATTAGAGCCATTATTGAAATTATTATGGAGGCTGCACAAAATGTTAAAAATAGAGCTATCATATGATAAACAATTCAACTACTGGGAATATATCCAAAAGAAAGAAAATCATTATGACAGATATCTATACTTCCATATAGCTTTATTCACAGTATCTAAGATAGAGAATCAGCAAAGGTGTCCATCTATGAATGAATATATAAAGCAAATGTAATCTGTATATACAACTGAATATTATTCAGCCATAAAAGGACTGAAATTCTGTCATTTTCACCAACATGGATAAGTCTGGGTGACATAATGTCAAGTATAATAAACCAGACATAGAAAGACAAACATCACATGCCATCACTTATATGTGGAGGTTGAAAAACTGATCTTATGGAAGAGTGGAACATAGGGCTGGGGGTGTGGCTCAGTAGTAGAGTTCTTTCTTTGCATGCATAAGGCCCTGGGTTTGATTCCCAACTCCCCCCCGCCCAAAAAAAAGAGTAGAACAGAGATCAGCAAGGCTTGAAAGGGAGGAAGGAGGAATGCAGAAAGATTGGATAATGAATTCCAAAATAATGTTAAGAGGAAGAAGTTCTAGTATTATATAGCATAGTAGGGTCAATATAGTTAAGAGTAATTTACTGTATATTTGAAAATAACTAGAAAAGAGAATTGTGAATGCTTTAGCATAGGGAAATGATAAATATTAGAGGTAATGGAAATAGTAATTGAACTTCTTTGATCATTACACTACACAGATATGTATATTACACTGTACACATAAATATGTACAAGTCTCATCCACTACTTAAAAATAAAAACAAAAAAGAATGTATGCAAATGAACAATAAACACATGAAATGGTAGATATTTAGAGAAATGCAAGTCAAAAGCATAATGAGATAACATTGTGCTTCTACTAAGAAGATTACACTTAAAAAGTCAAATAACCACATGTGTTGGTGAAAATATAGGGAAATCAGAACATTTGTACATTTCTGGTAGATGTAAGGTAGTGAAAACATTTTGAAAAATAGTCTAGCATTGTCTTAGAGTATTAAAAACATAATAAATCATATGATCCAGCAATCCTATCCTTAGATGTATGCCTAAGAAGAAAATAAAAAAAATTTAGATGTCTGCCAAAAACTTTATGCATGAATGTTTATAGCATAATTTTGCATAATAGCAAAGATGAGACAATCCAATTTTCTATTAATGCAGGATTGGATAAGCCATGAAGATTGGATATGTATATTAAATAGAGGAAGACACAAATGAATGGACAGAAGAATTCATGCATAGGAAGAAAAAATATTGTTAAAATACCTATACTACCAAAAGCAATATACAGATTCAATGAAATTTTTATCAAAATTTCAGTGACTTTTTTTTTAACAAAAACAGAGAAAAATTCCTAAAATCTCTATGGACCATGAAACACTAAATAATCAAAGCAACCTTGAATACAGAGGACAAAGCCAGAAGCATCACATTACTCAATTTATAAACTAACTACACAACTATAACAATCAAAACACTATGGGAATGGCATAGAATTTCTATATGGAAAATCATAT